GAAGATGGAAGCCTATTGCTCCCACTGTCATGCTGCTAATCCTTTAGGTGCCTAGCTATGGCTGGTACAGGGAAACATCTACATGCATAGCTGGTTCCCTAGCTGGCAATTACCAACTGCCTTGTGCATTCTCTGCTGCACCCCTTCTCTGGAGAGCCATGTTCCTGTCACTGTGCTGCCTTCTCCTCCCCCTTCCCAGCCAGCTCAGGCCTGGAGCCAGAAGCTCCCACCTGGCTCTTGCTCATCTTATGGTCCTGCTGTTTACTCCTCAGCCTCATCAGGAACTTGTTGTTATTTGTTTTGGACCCGGAGGGCACAGGTTAGAGCAGGGCTGTGACCGAGGATGGGTTGACCTGCCTCCTGCAGGGAGCTGAACCAGGGGTTCAGGACTGCAGGTCAGGTCAAAAGCTGACAGCTGGTGGCCCTCTGCTCCACTGCAGAAAACTGATGCTTCTGCTACCATCCACACCCTGAGCCAACAGCCTGCAGTAGTGGGTAGAGGAACCATGGCCAGACACCTCCTCCAGGGCCAGACACCTCCCTGCTCAGACCACCCAAACCCATGTGATGACATCTGGGACATCGGAGTGAAAAGCGCCTGCCCGTCTTCCTCCTGGAGCTGCAGTGATGCTCCCAGGGCTACAGGTGTATCCTGCCTTGGCAAGTTCTATGGCCGTATCTCTGTGCACACCTCAGCAATGCTGTTGTGCCAGCAAAAGCCCGCACCCAAGCCTGGCTGTAGGCTGTATTTTTTGTAGTCACAGAGTAGTCTTCCACACATGCTTGCTGTGCTCCAGGGGCTGGCTGGGACCCTGAGCCCTCCTATGGCACCTGGGGCTGGAGCACAGCTGTGTACAGGGATGCTAATGCTGGCCCAAGGGGCGGTATGGCTGGATGAGACCCCTCCTGCTCCTGACCAGCTCTGCTCTCAGTCATTGCTGATCACCCAGTTAAAGAATAAGCACACCATGCACTGAAGGAGCAGCTTGGCCGAATGAAGCAGCGGGACCCCTCAGCATGGGTGTGCAGGAGGCGTGCTAGCTCTTTAAGCCCTCAGAGGGGGTGGTGAGGCTCCTTGTGGCTCCTCTGGCTCCTTCCTGGGATACACAAGCCCCCAGGCTGAGGGCTGGCAGCCCTCCAGAGGGTGAAAGTGGGGCAGGCCTTGTTATTCCCTGTTTAACTGGCCCCTTCAAGTGGCTGGCCTCTTTCCTATGCGGTTATTTTTATAGCGATCTCATCTGTAGGTGGGTGAATTGTTCTCTTCCTCGCCTGGCGCTGCTCCAGCGGGCTAGGAGGGGCTTGGCTGGGGTGCTCCTGTTTGTTTGCTTTAGGGATGTGGTGTGCATTCACCCACTGTGAGGCGGGTGCAGGCATGGAAGCTGGTGTGCCTCTGACCCCTGCAGCAGCCACTTTGGGAGCCTGGTGTTCACGAGAGCTCCTCAGACCCCTCCTGCCTTCTGGAAATGTGTCCCGTGCATTGCCCAGGCTGCTGGCACAAGCAGGGATGGATCCCCAGCCTGATTCTCTGCTCTGTGAATAGCCTCTGTGAGAGATGCAGGCATCCAGCCGCAGGAGAGCCGCTGACCCAGCCAGACACAGGCATCCCCCTGCGGGGCATCCCTGGCATGGGGTGTTGCTCTGTTTTGCTGGGTGAAAGTTGCGGATCCTGTTCCCTCCACCCTTGAAGCAGTGACAGGGTGTCCAAGCAGTGCCTTCTGCCTTGGAGTCAGGAATCCCATGAGCTGGGCCCCACACAGAGGTGTAACACATGGCAGAGTCATAGGATAGTTTGGGTTGGAAAGGACCTTAAGATCATCTAGTTCCAACCCCCCTGCTGTGGATGGGAAAGGAGGGAAGAGTGAGAGAAGACAAAACTTTAACAAGCTCAGCCCAGTTACGGTGCTCAGTGTGCAGTATTGACCTAAATCTTAACCCCATTTTGCTTGCCTGTGCTGCAGCGATGTGGTGAGGTGGCAAAGGGGGCTGGCCGGGGCACTCATGGGCTGGATGGGAGGCGTGTATGTGAATTGGTCTCTGCTCAGCTGCCGCTCAGATTCAAGCAAACTGAGCCTGGCAGGAGGGCACGACACCTCCAGCAGCAGAATCATATGGTATCAAGCTGAATCTATTTAATTTCTGTTTAACTTGCAGGCTTCCACTACATGGAGGAGCTTCGGGAAGTGATGAAGGAGACAGAAGTGTTGAAAAATACGGAAGGAGGGAGGGAGTAAAAGGGCAGGCTGGGGTGATCAAAATCCAGCCAAGAAAGTTTCCAAAGCAGCAAACCAGAGATGGATAAAGAACTGTCAGTGAGTCAGGGGGAAGGAATGGCAGCATTGTCTCTTGTCAAAGCAAAGAATCTGTAATGGAAGAAGATGAAGTGCCAGGGAACTAATATCCCTCTGCAGCAATTGTCTGATCCCTCCCTTCCCCTCCAAAAAAGCAAGTTGCTGCTGGCTAGCTAACAAGTAAAAGAACCCAGTCCAAAACCTAATCTAGTCTCCTGTGCCAATAAGCGCATCTGTCGGTGTGTCAGTGTTGATCCTCCTTCAGTACATGCCACATGCTCGTTTCTTTACACAAGATGGGCTGGAAGGGCCATTAACTAGATTAGAAATTCTAAAGCACAATTAAAAAACATGCTGCTTCTTTGCTTTAATCTTCTCTTCTTTAGCTTCCAGGCTTCTTTTCCCCCTGGCTTGACAGAGCCTATGTTGTGTGGTGGTGATAGGGTATCATTACACAACCGGGGCTGGTTTCTGAACTGTGTAGCATCATGCATTACCTTGGCAGCAACACGCAGGTCCATGAGGCTCTCCAAAAAAGGAGTAACCCCTCCAACTGGCAAAACAATAGCTGCATTTACCACCTGTGGGGAGAAGATTTGAGCACTGAAGCTGCACAGCCAAGGAGCGAGATGGTGACTCACAAAATCCCTTTCTGTTAGCTTTACTCTCCAGAGTTACCCAGACAAAAAAGAATAGAAGGGAAGGAAACATTTGGTCTATCTATTCACAATGCAGCTATATGTCTGTAGACCTATGGCAGCTGGAGGTGCATGGGAAGGCAGGGGATTGAGAGGTTACTGACTATCTGTAGCGCTCAGCAAGGCAGGATTCACACCCTAGCAGCCTATATGAGGATGGCTGTGTCTGCCCCATTCCCGTGCAGAGCATTTCTCTAGGGAGAGTAACGACAGTGCAGAAAATGCTGTGATATGGGTCATGCTTTTTCTCCTCCTGCTCTCCTCCTGCACACGGACTGGGGATGTGTACTCTCTCCATCCTGCTTCAAGCAAAGGATGTTCAGGCAGACCCTGCCCTGCTTCTGCAAAACAGAAAGGGTGGCTCTCACCTGCCTGGCTGGTACCTGCACCCCAAGGGCAAGGTGAGGAGCAGCACCATTTGGAGCATTCCTGATGTCCTAAGCAACATCTGATAACACAGGGTGGATTGCAGCCTGTTTTCTGAGATGGGGAATTGCTGCTTAATTGCTACTGTGTTTTATAAATGCAGTGGGAATTTTACAGAGGACATAACATATTCTAAAATGAGGTTTTTTTTATTCCTTGGGTGTTTTCCTCATGCAGAACTGCGTTTATTACTCTTATTAATGGCCTCACGGGTGCCTGTGCTAGTTCCGAATCTTTATAGTTACTATCATTATACAATTTTGAAGGTACAGACCAGATTCTGGCCTACCCACACTAAAAACAGTAGAGTTCAGGGATTCGATTTTTCACAGCTTTGGGCATCAGGATATTTTTTCATTCTCTCCTCTGCTTGTTGTGCTGAAAGCTCTCATCATCGCTGCCTATATAATATAGCAGAAAACACTCCCCTGTTGGAGAAAATTAGACATTATAATTGCCCTGTTAATCCCTATGGGATTTTAGAAATGAATGCTAAAGTATCCTACTATTTCTATAGGACTCTATTTGATTATCCTTTTTAAATGCTGCAAGATTTTTCCATATGGTTATGTTTAGGATGCATTATGGAGGCCTTTCATCTTCTTCCGAAGCACAGGATGAAATATGGGTCACTGCTAGAATAGAGCAGTGAGGTTTTGTGATCCTGTAGTCTGCTGCATCTGATATGACAAGCCCTGTGCTGCTAGGGAAGGCATCAGCCTTTTGGGAACTAAATGGCTTGGTGGGGTTGCTTTAAAATTGGAGCTATACCTATTTGATACTTTTTTGGATGAAAGGACAAGATCTTTCATTCTCCTTACTATGGAGTGCCAGCCAGGTTTAAAATTAATACCAACCAGTGTTGAAGAGGGAAGGAAATGAAAGAAACATTTCTTCCCCAGAAACAGCCCTGCTTTCCTGCCTTTTCCATAAGCGCATAGACGTCTGTCAATTTTGGCACCAGAAAACATTAAAAATAAGGAGTTTTTTAAATACCAGGGATTCTTATGCACCTTTAAATGTCGCCCAAAAGGAATGCAGAGGCTGTAAAATGGACAAAAAGAGAATTGAGCCAGTCAAATAGTTAACGTGTTTCTGCAGAAAGCGCTTATTGCCGCTTAACAAAACATCTGAAATATCCCTGGTGTGCTTGGAGAAGGCTAGAACGAGGTGAAAGGCAATGCCTCCTGTGTCCAGGAGCCTGGAAACTGAGGAGAAGCCGGGAGCTGAGGAGCAGGGCTTTAGTTTCCTGCTGTCCCAAATTCACTCCAGCTCCCCAGCAGATGCCAGGAGCCTGGGATAGCTGATGCAAGATGCCTGTGGTCTTCTTTGCTAGAAATCCTGAGTACCTATCCTAGTTACTGATTTGGAGCACAATAAACTGTGGTAAATCAGGCTCTTGGCACTCAGAATGCAGACGTTTGAAATGAGCAGAGGCTCTCTCAAGAGGTATTTTTTCCTAGCTATAAAGAGGGGGAATAGTTACGTTACAAGAGGGAAGGTTAAATCATGGAGGTTTTTTGTAAACTGCCTTGAAGCTTTGGAGAGGAAGCCATTATAGGAGTACAATTTGCTCTTTATTTTGTAATTTATTTATTGCCTCATTTTCAAATAATGAAATTCTGAGCATACCTCCTCACTGGCTGCTGAAAAATAAGGGAATGCAGGAGGATTCTTAATGACGCTAATAAACCCAGCTGAGCACTTCACCAACAAATCCTTTTTATTGCAAAAATACCATTTTATTAATACAAATGGTCTTTATAGGATTGCATTGATTGCCACGCAGTTTTGTTTAGAAAAGTATACAGACCAAATTATATTTGTTTGAAATGTTCCTTTTTTATGTGGTTGGAGCAAAGCACTTCAGCCCAGAATTTCATTTTGTGATGACTTTATGGTTTGGACAGTGTAATTTATATTCCATCATCGAAACATAAAGAATTAAAGTGACACGATTTCATTGAAAGTGCAATGTATTCATGTAGGATATGGTTTTATGCGAGTGGGAACTTCACTTAGAGTTAAAAATGCAAATATACTGGTAGTCCAGTCTGCAGCCTTGCTGCCCTTCTCCACTAGAGAATCATAGAATCATAGAATAGTTAAGGTTGCAAAGGACCTTAAGATCATTAGTTCTAGCCCCCCCTGCCATAGAAGAGATGGAAAGCTTGCTGGAGTGTCCAGAACAACCCTCTTTGCTTCTTCTATTCAATCCTGCTTTTTCTTAACATCTTTCTTGTCTAAAAGATAGCATGGTTTCAACCTCAGGTTATTTTCTTCATGCTGCAGTACATAGATTTTTCCCTCCTCTCGCTGTGTGGATATTATGGCCATGTGTGATGGGGGATCATTCATTCATTCATTCAGCCAGCAGTGGTTTTGGGGTGAAAATCCACCTCTTTTACTCCTCTCTGCCACGTGCCTCCCTCTGCCTTACTGTGCTGAGCTCGATGGTGCTCTGCATTTTGATCTCCACACACTGTTCAGCCTGGTGGACACTGTGGGTGTCCATCGGTCATTTTCTTCCTTCATCCCCTTTGGCAGTATGATGCTGGCCAGATAAATCAATTGCTATGCTTCTTAGGGGGTTTTGCCTGCTGATGTGATGTTGTCATTGGGGTTTGACTGGTCTCTGCCCTGTTGATGAAAGATGGTAATCGTGATGTGCAGTGAGTCCCATGAAACACGAAGAACACTCCTGCCTTATTTTGGGGGAGAGGGATGTGGAAACATCCACCCTTGGCAGCCACCAGGAACAGAGCAGGAAAAGGGATGGGAAAGGTGGGACCTGAATTCTGTTAATCGACCAGTGTTGGAGGTGATGTGATGCTCTGAGCGGTCAGAGCCCAGGCAGAGCCCTGTGCAGTGTGCACAATACGTGGTGTACTCATTGCTGAAACCACCGCTGCTCTGTGCTTTTCCAGGAAAAGTGGAACACGTGAGTCTCTGCAAAATGTGCATTCTGTTAGGCATTGTCTGAAGCGGCTTTTTGGGGAGCTCGGGAGCTCTCTGTGCATTAGCTGGAACAATTCCTCCTCTGAACGTACTCTCGGATCCTTCACTCCTCTGGACCACTCCCTCCCATTTGGCTCTTAGCATTTCCATTCTTCAAAGTGTTCAAATAACTCAGTTTATCCTCACAGGACCTCTAAGGGAAGGATGGAAGAATGGGTAAACCCTTAGTTTACCACTTGGGAAGCTGAAAAATAATCCCTCATCCCTAATCTGCAGTGAGACTTTGGTGTGCCATGCTGCAAGCACGGTGTCTGTGCATAAAGGAGCAAATGCATGCTCTTGACATCTATATACTGATATATCTGTGTATTTATGATTTGGTCAAGCTCTGTGAACACTGCAAGTCCAAACATAATTTGCTTTCGGATTCCCTCACATAATGCTCACCTGGTATGACAGAGTCTGGTGTAAACTGTTTGTAGATTTACTTCCCCGTTGGGATTGGTCAGCGAGGAGGAGGGAGGTATGACATGCAGTGATGTCTGTAGCAGTTTTCATGGACGCAGCCAGATGTAACCCACCTGTGGTACTCCCCAGAGGCACTGACACATGTGGTAACCACTTGCACATACCGCAGGGCGCAAAGAGCCAGTGGCACCACTATCTCAGGGCGCTCCTGGGTGCATCCGCTTCATCTGAGCTGCTGATTTGCTTTTCCTGGAATCGAACTAGAACCCCCAAAGGACGTTGCATGAAACTTGTAAACCAAAGTCAGGCCCCTCTGTCTTGTGGTGCTTGTTTTAATTTTACTATGGGCTGTCAGGAAGACAATTTGTGATTAAAACTGAAAGCTGCCTTGAAGCAACTGCCAGGCTGGAGGGTGTCGGTGGGGGCTCCGAGGGGGTTAGTTAACTCCAAGTCCTTGGTGTGTTGTTTTTCCCTGCTCAGATCCATGTGGAAGATCTATTCCCACATCTAATCAGGATTTGGACTTGCAAAGGGGTGAACGCTAGAGCTGTGATTGGAATCTGGGAGGAGAAGGCAGCCCTCACGTGTGATTTACCTCCACGCTGCTGCTGGGTGCTGAAACCCTTTGTAAGAAAGGGGTGAGTCTGATGTAATGAATTTACCAAAGCTCACAGGTTTGCGGTGAAAAGTCAGTACAACAGGCCTTTATGAGCTGTGGATTTACGACATGTAAATAAGTTAGTGCGCTAATTGTGGCCGGTGTTACAGGTAGCAGGCTGTCAAAAAAAAGCCTCACAGGGTGATTTATGTGGGGTTTTTTGCGCACACTTGTGTGAATACATTTACAGATCCTCTACCTCCCTTCCCCCATAGCTGCAGGGGTAGGAGCAAGGAGCGGCGTTCAGCGTAGGCTGGTCCACGCTTCTTCCCCAGGGTGCCAAGCTCCGGTAAGCAGGAATCATTAAACTGGGGGAGGCAAAATGGCTTTTGGCTGTGCCCAAGCCCTCCCGTCAGTGTTGCCCTGCAATCTCTGCTGAATGGAAATGGTTTCCTCACCCTCACCTCTAAGCTTACAGACTGGGTTACCTGCTTTCCTGCTAGTGCCTCCACCTACCCAGACAGCTCTGGCACTTCAGACTTACTGATCAGCTATTTTCTGCCACAGCTCTCTTAGCAAAGGTTTTACACGGCGGCGTAGCAGCTGACTAAGCAGTGAGCCTGCGAGTGAGAGAAGTGAACGTAGGGCTTCTTTTATTTGGCAACCTGACAAGGCTCCATCTCAAAATGTTGAGGCATTTCTCCATGTGAGCAGCCTGCTCAGTAGATGGGCTGGCGTTCAGCCGTGCTATGGGAGCTGGGAGACAAGCTGTGCCAAGGCCCCCGACCAAATAAACAGGCAGGGAGATGTTTCAAATGAAGTACCTAGAAGAGAGGAGCACAGGCAATTTGCATAGTGAAACGACTACGGGAGGATGTGCTGAACATGCGACTCAGCTTTGAAAATGGTTATCATATGCAAAAACATAGAACACATAGCAGAAATGTTAGAGAGAGAGACTCTGTGGACCAGAAATACGAAAGTACAAAGAGCCTGTCATTTCAGATATCCCAAAATGGGGCATTTTGGAGCATCACACTGGGCTGGAAACAGGCAACCTGGTCTGGACTGAATGTTTAATTTTGTTTTTGTTTTTACATATACATATATATGTACATTTTCCACTCCCTTGTTCTGAATTTCCTTCATAGCCAGGATAGTGCAGCCATTCGGAGCACATTTCCATGGTGTTTTCAGTTTTCATGCTCACTTTTGCAAACTGCTTCCAATATATCTCAAGAAATAAACCAGTCCTGCCTTCAGTTAGTGATGGATGCACCTTAAAACATTCAAGGCACTTGAAAAGTTCTGATATCTTTGGTTTGATCCTTAGCCAAGCCATGTCTAGCCTTGTTGGCGTCTCTGTTGTATTCAGGCACAAGTGGCAAAACCATCTGTATACTTCCATTTTAGCACTGTTAATCTACTGTCATCGATCCTAAATGGATCTTCAGTCTTACCACACTGGGCAGGTGGGGAAAAAACCTGGGGCGTACTCTTCTGCAGATTGTAGGAACTGGGAAAAACTATGGTCCTGCTCAAGGAGCTGGTTTCCACTGTGAGGGTGTCTTATTAAGTGTCCCCTTGCCTGGTGGCTGGTAGTGGGAGGCAGAGGGAGGGGTCATGGTATTGGCAGGACCTTGACACTTGCCCACTGATGAGGCGCACTGTTGGAAAGGGGCACTTTCCCTCCTCCTGCTTGGAGAAAATGGAGGAAGTGGAGAGGAACAATTATTAACAAGGCAAAGCAGCAAAGGTGCTAAATGAATTCATAAGGACTTGAGAAGGAAAATGGAGGAGATTATAGATATTCAGGGAAGTGCTGATGATGAGGGGAGATGAAGTGGCTGGGCTTTGTGGGGGATGAAGGCTGGTTCAATGGCAGGATGGAGCAAGATTAGAGATAAATTCAGGGCTGCTCTGTGTGCCTGAAGATGAAAGGACCTGGAGGGAAAGGTGAGTTCATCACAGGGTGCTCATGCAGAGTCAGGTCATTTCTTGTGCTTTGCCTTTTAAGAACAGCAGTGGCACATTTCTACTTGTATCTGCTCCTGTTTCCACGCCTGCCAGTACCCTGTTGGTGCTGAACGGCTAAACTGCAGAGAAAAAAGGTTGAAATAGCCCTTAATATTGGGAAGAGGTGGCACTGCTGTCATTCAGGAGGGACCTCAGGGCAAATTTTTGGCCTATGAAAAGTGTTGGAAAGATAGCTCTGCAAAACTGAAACCTTTATTCTTTATACTCACACACATATCTGGGTAAGGTTTGCCTTCGGAGCATGGGGAACTGAGAAAGATGGCAGTACCAGAGTTTCAACCGAATGGGTCAATAAGCCCCCTTGTGTGATGATGCCTTTCACAGCATGCCTGGCAACCACTGCTGAATGTAATGCAGCATTGACACTTCAGTGAATCGATTTCTCTGAATGCCATGCCAAGCAGATGAGAAGCCTTTGTCAGCCAGTTTCGGTCAAGTCCATCATCCAATCCCCGACCTACAGCTTGTGGGAGTGGAGTATGAAGGATGAACTCATCAGAAAAGTGCAAAGGTTTTGTGTCCTTGGTGGGGAGAAGTGGATGTGCAAGAGGAACAATGTATTCAAAGTAAGCCAATAAATCAAAGATGCCAGCCCCGGGCAGATGTGTCTCTGTGCTGATTCTGGTGCCCAGGCAGCAGCACAGAAGAGCAAGGTTTGGCTGTGTGCCTGGGGGGCTTTCACACTGAAGATTCGAAATGTACAGTCACTGCTGAAGCATCAGAGAAGAATTAGCATGCAGTGCTGCATGCTCCCTTGACCTGGAGGACAAAAGCCTGCAGAGGGAGAAGGATTTTTCAAAGTGCTGTGGCAAGCAAGCAGGAAAAAAGGAAGGGAATTGTGGTGTCACAGCTATTTGTTGTATGTGAATGTCTCTTTTTGCTGTGTTCAGATTCCATTTTCCCCAGGCCTTCCTCGGATTTCTTCATCTCAGCAGATATGGGTCAGGCTCATCAGTATGTTCAAGAGGGAGATCTCATACTGCATCTGGGTAAAATGCCTTCAGACAAATGTCACAGACTGCCCACTCCAGTAAGGGACATCACTGCTTCTACAATCACAAGAAGGTCCCAGATCCTAATGCCAGCACTGCTGGGCAGCATGGAAGACTTGTCAGCTTTTCCCTTTCCCTCCCTGTATCTCCACATCTATCCCAGGATTTGTGAGACGTCGGAGAGGCTGGATGTTCTTGTCTCTGTGGTTTGGACAAGAGAAGGAGCAGGACTCATTTGGCTCAGAAACTTAGGATATTAATTACATGTCGGTAGGCTCTCCAGCGGGGCGTGCTGACCACTGCATCTTCCAAAACATCCTTGGCTGCTTTTTTTGGCATGGCGTTTCAGTTCCATGCCTTACCATGTTTGCATGGTGAGACAGGGGCTGCACTTTGAAAACTGAGAACTCATAGATGCACACTTAGTAGGAGCATTTGCTTGAAGAGCTGGAAAATTAAACGAAGAGAGTCTGAGAAGAGTGATTTAGGAGTGAGGGGCAGCGAGATGCCAAAGCTATGGATAGATAAATGGAGCATCAGTTTGGAGTAAATTGCAGTGTAACAGCTCTGTGCACACACATATTATGGGATTTTAAAAGCCAGGCAAATTTCACCCTTATACCTCAGGGCTAGATGTGTCACTATTGTTGCTGGGCTGGGTAGCTCTCACAGGGTCAAGTGCGTTTGCAGCTTTCTAAAGATGGGATGGTTTTAGGTCTTGACACACAGGTCGATCCTTGTATGGGCACACAAGAAATCAAGTGAGGAGCCAAGTAGAGTCTGGAGAGTGAAAGCCCAGAGACAGGTGAGTGGGAGCAGGAGGTAGGAAGTGTCCTTGGGTCTCCATGGTGATAGAGAGCAGTTCATGACAGTAGGAGAGAAGCCACAAGGCTGTGACAAGATGACATTGTCAAACTGATGAACCCACACCCAGACCAGCAATAGAAAAGCTATGATGCTTCTTTTGATGCAGCCCTGTATACAGTTGGTTTCTGGGCTGCAAATGCACGTTGCCAGCTCATGTCCAGCTTTTCATCCACCGGTACCTCCAACTCCTTCTCCTCAGGGCTTCTCTCAATCTCCTCAATGCCCCAGACTGTACTGGTACTGGAGGTTGCCCTGACCCCTGTGCAGGACCTTGCATTTGGCCTTGTTGAACCCCATGAGGTTCACATGGCCTCACTTCTTGAGCTTGTCCAGGTCCCTTTGGATGGCATCCTGTCCCACATGTGCCAACTGCACCACTCAGCCTAGTGTTGTCTACAAATTTGCTGCAGGTGCACTTGATCCCACTGTGTTGTTGATAAGGATATTAAACAGTACTGGTCCCCATATGGACCCCTGCAGGATACCACTTGTCACTGATCTCTGTCTGGACATTGAGCCCTCTGGATGTGACCACCCAACCAATTCCTCATTCACTGAACAGTCCATCCAGCAAATCCATATCTCTCTGGTTGAGAGAGAAGGATGTTGTGGGGGACCGTGTCAAAGGCCTTACAGAAGTCCAGATAGATGACATCTGTAGCTTTTCCTTTGTCCACTGATGTAGTCACTCCATCATAGAAGGCCACTACATTGGTCAGGCAGACTTGCTCTTGGTGAAGCTGTTCTGACTGCTGTGAATCACCTCCCTGTCTTCCATGTGCCTTAGGGGGAACTGTTGCTCCGGGATGTGGCCCTCTACAGCCTCCAGCAGCCTGGGGGTTCACCACCTCTCCAGTCATGCCCTATGGCCCAGCTTACCTCTGGGGAGGTTGCTAAGGCATAGCTGTGGGGGAGCTTCCCAATTTAATTTGAAGTTTCAGTTGTCGGGAGCACTGTGGGAGCAAGGGAGTTGTAATGGGATGAGCCGTTGTTTCTTGCTGTTAATACCAGTGACAATGTAATTTTCACAGCTGTAAAGATGCCCGGAGCAGAGGGCGGGACCCCTCAGAATTAGCACCAACTTATTTATTTCTTTCCATACTGAAAGGATCAATGGGTCTTTCCAGCAAGAAACCTTCACTGCTGTTGCCATGGTCTATTCTCCTCCCAGGAAAGCACTTGCTTTGGGAAGGCCCGGCAGCCCTGCCGGGTGCGAAGGGCTGCTCACAGAAAAGACACACGCACACACAATTAAAAAGAGAAGTAAAAAGCAGCTGCTGGAAGTAAAAGTTAGGCTAATGTGGAGATGAAAGCACTTCTGCAGAGCAGAGGTGGGGAGTATTGGCTCCGGGGAGTGGGTGGAAGGGTCCTCATGAATGAGCAGTGCAGTGCGGGGCTGCCTTGAATAACAAAGAGGGAAGGAGGGCGTTAGGATCTGATAGTACAGACTTTGGAAAAACTGAGAAGAGGAGGAAATCATGGCTAATTTAAAACTGCCTTGGAGAAGCAGGTGGGAGGGAGACCTTGAACGTTTGCTACGCTGTGACTCGAAAGTAAGGAAATGGAAAAACAAGGGTTGGAAGGCAGAGCAAGGGAGAGCTCGCCTCCTGCTCATTGTTTAGAACGAACAACACTGACTCTTACAGAGAACGTCGGAGATTTTCTGGGAAAAAGCAGAGCTCCTGGAGTGAACTGTCCTAAGGGAAGGGCTGAGGAAGGAGGATGCAGCCAGTGGCTCCCAGAAAAATGACGGTGATGTGATGAGTCAGAGATACTTTCGGTTGCACTGAAATATTTACTCTTTGTCTGCCTGTATCCTCAAAGCCCACATCAAGGAATGAGGGCAACACTTCTTTGACAGGTTAGAGCTATGCTATCAGGTGGTGTGCTACGGGGATAAGTGACAGCAGCCAGAGGAGCTTTATCAGCTCTTCCTGCTGTTACTTGCTTTGGATCAAGCTCTTATTGACCCGGTTGGGTGTGTGCTGGTGTGGCGGAGTGTGGAGCCTGGACACCTCTCCCCAGTGTGCCTGCATTTCCTTTTTTTGCATGCTTAACTTGATGGAGGTGACAACTCCATTATGCAAGGCGCATGTGACAGTGGCGCGGTGCCCCTCTTGAGAAGTTGCCCAGGTCTGTATCTCACATTTTGCATAAAGAGAGTGAGGGCCATCCAGAAAAAACAGATGCAAGCAGCCAATACAATCAGCTTCAATGTATTCTTCCCTTCTCAAAAAAACCCCGAACATCTCTCCAAAACAATCAGAGCTGTTAAATAACACTTATTCTATGCAGAGGAAGTACAGCACGATGGGACTGCCAGCCCATGCCAAGGAAAACACTTGGACTTGCTTGGCCTGTAACAATGGACCCAACCAAAGGAAACTGGAGGCTGTGGTGTCTGTGGGCTGTGCTGGGGGGAGCAGGGGGAAGTGGGGTGGGGTGGGGTGGCAGTCCTGGAGCAGGGTGGGCACGTGGCGGTTGTGCCATGTATCCGGAGTGCTTGCTGGCTTGCTCTACCCCAGACAGTGTCTCCCAGCAGCAAAGCACAGCTCAGGTCATGCAAGCAGAGCACTGTCACCACACAGCAGGTTTGTGGTGATCACTCAAATCACAGGGATTTCATTGAAGGGAGAATTCAGGTTTTATTTGCAAGAGTGAATAGATCTCCTTTTCTTTTCATTCCCCTCTGCTATGCCAAATACTACCTGCTTATACTTGACATATAGCTGGTATTTCTGAAACACTGTTCACAATCTCAACTCCAGCATTGAATAAAAATGTAGTGCTACCATATGTAAAGGTTTTAAAGCTTGGAGTGCAAGGATGAACTGAAGAAATCCTTTAAGGACTGTGTCTGATCAATTCCATATTCTCCCTTCACCTTTCCCATGCAGTATTAACCTTGTTTCTAACCAGACTGTCTCTGTTCCACTCAGCCACATCCCACTCACAGGTATGCAGATCTTCAGACATCTGTCCTCAGATGTCTGCTCAATAATATTAGTATTTAGCAGCCCAGACCAGATGCCAACTTGGCTCAGGGTGGGAAGGCAGGGAGGCAAGCAGCCTGCTTACCACAAGCTACTGGATGGAGACTGATGGTCATTTAGGGCCAGGTTATATTCTGTGCTGCAGCAACTCAGCATCATGGCCCTCATGCAGAGACATATCATAAATACACCATGTGTCATGCCAAGCACCATCACATGAGAAACATGCCACTTGCATGCGTAAGTAGCTGTTTAAAGAGGAGCATTTGGTCTATGCACTTTGTATTAGCTGTGCGTGCCTGGTGATGGGAGAGGAGGGCTTCAGCTGTGTCAAGAGATCTTACATGTGAAAAGAGATTTAATGAAGCTCTCTAAGCTCTTAGTCATTTTTTTGTGCTTTTTGTGGAGCCCGAGGTGAAAAGTGTAGATTTGATTAGCGTTGCTGGATCTGGTTTGATAAAAGACATCTTTGCCATATCTTCCCACACTCACCCTAGGAGACATTTTAGCTCCTGTGTTTCTTTTCTCTACCTCTCTACATGAAACAGACCTTTCCCTCCTATAGGTCTGTCTGTGAATGCATTTTCCTTGATCTTCAAGTACCTGCCAGTCATCCCAATCCTCCAGAGCTGCTATTCCTGTCTATGGCTGTGCTTAGGGCACCCTCACGCCTCCACAGCCAGACCCCATGCAGTGTGGGGCAGCTGTAGCAGGGCTTCCTGCTGGGCTCCTGCATCCCAGCAGCTGCTCTCCTGGACTGTGTGAGATCCCCATGCAGCGGCCTCCATGCAAGATGGACATATCATGGTGCTTAGCTGGAAAAGGGTAAGAACTGATACAGGGATGAGGGGATCTCCCCTTGTGAGTGGAAACCTCCTCCTTGCAGGGAGCAGAGTGAGGGTGCAGCACTGGGAGGACCAGCATCATGCCACGGCACAGCTTCTTGTGTCCTAGACCTGCTGCACAGGGTGAGTCCCTAATGCCCTGAAGTAAGGAGCAGGATGGGAAGAATGGCTGAAACACTAACTGCTGACAGCCTTATTTTGGTCCATGTCCCACTGAAGTCAATGGGATATTGCTCCAGGAAAAACTGGATAAGGATCTAGAGTTTGGCAGTGGAAAAGGTTCTGTCTTCTTGCTGTTTATTCTCCAAATGGATCCCTAGCTCGCTGTTTGTGACTTCAAGATCATTTCCAGAGCCTGCAATAATGATGTCATACCCGGGGGATTCTGGCTTCAGGTGGGAAATCAACAGCAGGAGCAGATGAACTCTTTAATAAACAAAGTTCCCGTTTTCATGCAAATGTCTTTAGAAATAAGGAACAAGGGGAGTGAGAAATACAGAAATTTATGGTATAGAAGTGACGCTGTTTGGAAACAGACTTTTTATGAGTTTTCCAAGAGGCACCAGCTGCTCTTTAATGTTTTCATTTAAGATTTTTATGTATGAAAGCTCCAGCTTGTGTAAACAGCAAGGCTGAGAAAGTTGCAGGGATTGTTGTTAATGGTGAACCTCACAGGCTGTGGATTTGGCTCGGAAAATATGGTGAGTGTCGATGTTTATCCAGAGCAGAGGTTTTTAATGTGGCCGGATGATGTCCCTGTTGTCCTCTGGGTCCTCCTGCCTGCATCCCTGGCTCTCAAGACCACCTCCAAAACCTCTGATGTCCCTACTTCCTCCTGAGACTTGGGAGAAGGTGGCACAAGTGCATGAGAAACTCTCCAGCCAGAGCAGCCCCTTCTCTGATGTGCTGGAGCTTGTCTTCTCTTGGGGAGGCTGGACCTCCTGCTCTCCCGAGGAGCAAAGCTCGAGTTAGGAAGTGGCCATGTCTCTCCACCACCCCATCCCTGGCTGGGAAGGCAGGGCTGGGAAGGGTGCTCCTGCTGCAACGTGGCAGAAACCCATTGCCCTTCCCACCATGTGCCCTGATGCTCCCTGATCTCACCAACAGCCATCGCTGATCCGCGTCTATTAATCTGCTATTTTGGGGAGTGCCTATTGTGCACTCCAATTAATGTAATTGCTTTATTTTGTTGGAGAGAGTGCCAGAGCCTGTGCCATAAATAGCTTCATGCGCGTTCTTCTGGTGGGCTCCCTTTGTTTGGCAATTAGCTCTCTAAGGGTGAAATGCATGGACATGTTAGAAAAAATAAATGAAGTTCTTTCAGCAGGGCCAACAGGCACAGAGCAGGCAGTTGCACACCCAGCACTTCCCAAGGAGGACCTGAGCGGTGATCCTTGGTGCTCGCTGCTCTCCATCTTGCTGTCGTGTTTTTCTGCAGCAGCTTTCTGTTTGCTCATCTACAGGAATACTTTGCATCTAGCCTGCCTGTTTTTGAAAAGGTGACTGCTGATGACAGCAAAGATAACAAGAGGGTGGTTTTTTGTCTTCATGAGAACGCCTCCAGTTCTATTAATAAAACCTTGAATCTGACTTGTCCTTCTGAGAACTCCCGGCCCCTCTTCACCCATTCAAATCTGTATTTTTAAGCTGCTGTAGGTGGATAGTTGACAATGGTTGTTATGCAAACTCCGAGTGCTGGCTTTGGGAGCTTCTTGGAAACCTGCAATGAGTAATCTTTATGTTTCTGACAGGTCTACGGGGAGAGGGGGTGCAGTTTTGCTGAAGATAGGTTGACAAAATAAGTGTAAATTCATGCCAAACTAACTGCCAAAAATACTCACATCAAACACTGGAAACAATTAGAGAATGGTATGACAGAACATCTCTGTGGCTGGAGAGCACACCAAGCACGGAGCCCCACACCAGTAAACTGGTATTTTCACCAGTTTTTTGTTATTTGGAACAGGAGAAATGATCAGGTCCTTTGTTCTCTGGGTTACCTGTAGGCTTGGTTTTTAATTGTAACTCATAGGCAGTGCTGCACTTGAAAGGTGAGAGAGGTATGTTTATTTCTTCAGCTTGCTGTGTAAAGCAAGTGCTGGTCACATGAGACCTGATTAATACCATGAGGTCACGGAGGTGTGAGACGGCCACTAAACTTTGAGGAACTCTGGTCAGTGCTAACCTGAACTGCAGGACTTCCGACCTGGAAGCTGAAGCAGCAGACCTGTGCTCCAGTGTTCTGTTAGCAGGGTGACACCTTTGGAGAAAGATTCTCTGACTAGAAATCTCCCTGAATAGAGTTGGCTGTTGATAGCTCCTTTTGCACACAGCCCACAACCAAAGTCCAATGTGCCTTCAAGATGCTGAGCTGAGCAAAACAGGGAGAAGAGGGCTTGTAGAGCAAGGGGACTCAGAAACACAAGTACCCTCCCCTGGTTGTAACACATTTAGGTGGATTGCCATGTGGAGCAGTTTGCCTTTTGACCCAAAGCTGACACTAGAATTAGGAAGTTTGGCTTTGCAGTACCCGTTTCCTGATTGCAATGAGCAGCTCCTGTGGCTGCAGAGCACACCAGCAGCAGATGGGTAGACGAGACAGCATAACCCCATGACGGCACTCAGGCTTGGGGCTGCTCCTTCCTCTGACACCCAGGGCAAGTCACCTAGAAGTCTGTAACAGCATCAGCCGAAGTGGCACAGGCTCATCTCAGCTGAGTTTCCAAGGTGCCAAGCTCCTCTTAATGAGCTCACATTGCTATCACACTCTCTGCCCTCCCCTGAGCAGATGTGTTTGGCAGAAGCCTTGAGGTGTCTGTCTGTGGCATAACTGCATGGTTGTGATCCTGGGCCTCTGAAGGACGTAGTGCCAGGTGCCATATAAACCTTATATTGCTGTACTCTGTAAAGCACCCTGTGTTATTGTCAGCTGTCACACCCAAGTACCCATAACAAACCGCATCTTTGCACCATGCTGGTAGTCACAAGGAGGCAATACCCAGGAGTCCACCAGCTGGAAAGCCCCATCTCTGTGCCCAAGCATTGCTTATTACTACACCGTAGCTCACAGACCTTCAGAAAGTGATCCACTTTGTGAATCAGTGTTTTTTAATGCTGAGAGTCCCCACGGTCCTGCCAGTCTGCTAGTTCCATTGCACCACTCTCAAGTGAGTCAACAGCCATCTGTGCATGCTGAAAATCAAATAACTTTTGCTTTAGGAGGGGCTTTTTGTCATTTATAATGAATCCCTCTGCATCACCCTCTGCGGTACCTACTGATGTCCAAGATGAAATCAGGAGGAAAGAGCATGATCTGAAGCCACCCACAGCAGCCTGGTATCACCTTTCCATCTCAGCTGCATTTCAGCAAGCCAGCTGAAACGAGGCAGTTTTCTCTGTGCTCGGTGCCAAACACTATTCTCACTGAAGCAGAGGGAAGTTTTGTTTTTCCCTAAATAGGAATAATTTGGCCTTTGGTGGCGCTCAACTGGAAAGAATCCAGCACTTCTCTGATCTTGTCAGAGTGGCTGAGATGGTCATAAATCAGAAGGGCTACTCCAGAAATATTTTCCCTGGGTTTAATTCTCCATCCCACCGTGCTGGTGTAATGAAAATAAAAATTGGGCCCACCACTGGTTTAATTTTACAGATAACTGCTCTCTTTCCAGGCAATCTTTGTGATCCATTTTTCTCAGTCTGTTGTTTTCTGGGGGGTAGGTCGTTTCGTAGGACCATTCAGGTTTTTTTACCTTCCTCTCCCCCCTTCCGTATGGGGAAGAATAAAGTGAAGAAACATTTTCAGAGAAGAAAGACTTGGAAAGAGTTGCTGTTTTCTGGGAGTCTGCTACAGCTGTTAATTTGTGGAAAACCTCAGTGGAAAGTAAGCAATATGGCAGCATCGCTTTACACGAGAATTCAGCAATGGCCTCCTTCCAAGCCATGGCTGATTTAGGTTCTTGGCTTGTACAGCCAAAGCTTCATGTAGTGTCATGCTTTTTTTATAGATAGTGTTGATGCAGCTGTGGAAGGCTCTGATGTTCATTTTTTTCAACATGGAATTGTCGTCATTCGATCAAGCTTAAGCATTGTGGAGCTCTGTGTGATGTTGTTTGTCTTCGCTTGTTAGATGTTGGTGAATAAGCCTGAGACAGGCTGAGATGTTGTTTGGGAAAGAAGAAAAGGCTCCCTCCTGTCTTCCTATCCTCCACCACAGAAACGCACACAGACCCAAACTCCCATCCAAAAAGGCAGTAATGCTGAGAAAATTTGGAGCTGAGCTTGAACATTGCGGGGTGGGCCCCTTCTGCCTCTCCAGAGCACACACGCTCTTCTCTTCCTGTAGACTTTGTTCCTCTCCAGCATTTGTCATGCATAGTTGGTGGCATATCAACATTTTGAGTACTGTACCGAGTGCAGTAACCTCTTTTTCTTGGATGGACATTTTGTTTGTGGAGAATGCAGCATGGTGCTCAGTTGTCTGGACAGAAATGAACATTGAGGAAAGTCTCAGCTATGTGACGTCTGTTAGAACAGAGATTAGTTTTCCAGCAGAAATGTCCAATTATTCAAACTTCTCCAGTAGATGAAAGAGCTTTTGACAATCTGTTTTGCTGAAAAACCCTGCGATTCATTTGGCATGGATTATATGACCTATCAGAGATTAGAAGAGGGGAAAAGGGTTTCTAATTAATGTCAGCCCAGCTGTTAACTCAGGGAGTATCGTATCAGTGAGTGGTAGCACAAGCTGGGTCCTTCATATATTTCTGTGGTTACGATTCATGTGTACATTGCAATCTGGACCTGCAGCCTTCTGCACAGAGGGTTGCACAAGTTCCCTGTTCCCAGGTAAAGCATTAGTGTGCGCTGGACCAGCTGCTGCTTCTTGGCTCTGTCTCCAAGGCAGGCTTTTATGAATGGGTAAGCCCCACTTTCCCAGTGCTACCTTGTCACATAATGGCTGATTCACTCACCTCCTTATCTCTAGGCCATATGACTTACTTTGATTGCATTTTCCTCCCCAGCTTGGCTATGTATCTTGTTTCTTTCCCTGAGGGTGAATTAGGGCAGAATCCTTGAATCCTTGGAGCTTCCCACAGCATCTGGAAAGAAGAAGAAAATCAGAAATGGGCCAGAAAGAGGCAGGCAGAGAAAGATGAAAGAATTTGGAGGCGGGAAGTATTCTCTCTTGGAATGAAGCTTCCTCCTGCCTGGCCTAAGGCAGAGCAATTTACTCTTTTCTGCAACACGAAGAATGGCCTAGCCCCTGCTCTTAGAAGTAAACATTTCACAGATGCCTGAGGGGCCCCATATTTATATTTTTGTAATCTGCTCGGTCTCCTTTAAGTCTCAGGCTATGTCCCTATTGCCAATATTGGCGCTAGCTTGAAGTAAGGTAGCTTCTTGTGGAGATACCTGAGCACGGCTGAAGAAGTTCCGTTGTTACAAGTAGTTTACCCACAGCAGTCAGAGCATTATACCTGCCTGCTGCCTTGCCTTGTCCTGTGCCAAATCATGTTTAAAGCTGTCTCTAGCTCACACTTGGTACGATCTGTGCAGCAAAAGCATTCGCTGCGATCCTGGCTCCTCTGCAGCTGCCCACTGAGGCCCAAGGACCTAAAGGCCAGGGTAGAGGATGGGGTTTGGGAGCTGGAGTCACGTCGGTCTTTTGCAAGCTTTTTATAGGGCTGAACCCACATTTGCTATTGGCACTGTTAAACACTTTCCTGTTTTTCTCTGTCCCCTTGAACTCACACTGCAGCCCTAACCGACTATCGTGTTTTGTTTTTAATGACAGAGCTAAGGTGCCAAAATATTTCAGTAGCTCCCCATGGAACATCTGCAACTTCTTTAGCCACTATTTTCACAGCTGGCCACAACTTCTTTTTGGTTGGTTTTTGTTGTTTTTTTTTTTTCGGAATGCTAGGAGTCATGAATCTGGGATCCTGGAGGAGAACAATGGCTAATTTCCCTTGTATCAGGATCTAGGAGTTACAAAATGCTACTCTAGCGCCTTTGAATAAATGCACAGGAACTGAGCTCAGGGGGAGTTTGTTATTTGAAAGACAAAGCTGCTGAGCTCCAGACAGAGCTTAGACCAGCCTTCAGACTTAGGGTAAAGTTTGTGCGTGGGGTCACCAGGATCAAAACGTATAGACAACTCAAATGCCAGAGCTGCTACTGCTGAGGTTCATGCTGCCGTGCAGCAGGAGAACTATCTGATCACTGCCTCCAATGCAGTTTCTGTCTTCTGATGAAAACTGGGAAAGTAAAATCTCACACCTCTAATGTAATACCAAGGTCTAGGAACAGGAATTAGGTCTGGAATTTGAACTTCCACCCAGCAGCCAGAATGTTGCAGAACTTTAATTGCAGCCCAGATTTATTACCTGCTAGCTATGCTTAGTTGGTCTAACAATGAAAAAAGCCAAAGGCATTTAATCATTGTATCAAACCATCACTCATAATCGTTGTGTTGCACCTCTTCCCTCCCTAAACGGAGAAAGCAAATTATGAAAAACCAAAAAGCATGCTGCAAAGCTTCCCATTTTATTTAACCACTAACAAATCTATTAAAACCAAAGAAGTTTTACACCGAGCTCTTTACCCAAATGTTTTTTTCTCCTACAGTGGCATAATCTTCAACTCTTGCTGGCATGGATTCTGTACCTTACCTCACCTCACACCCAGCGCTGCAGCACCAGGTACCACTTCTGAGTGTGGCTCCCACCTACCAGTGACAACTGCATCCTGACCCAGGCCACAGCTAACAGGCTGCACTCAGTTTCTTGAGGGCAAAATGCTGGGGGAGGCAGGTCTGCAGCCACGGGTTGAACAAATGTACAAGTGGCACTTGCAGGCTGAGAAACCCATGTATTTCCTCGGGATGTCCCATCTCGTCAGTGTTGTCTTATCCTGTGGCACAGGCAGTCTGCAAAGCAGCAGTAGCCGTATCTGCTCTTGGAGAAGTCCTTAATGGTCTGTGCACCTTTTGGGGGAGCCGGAGCTGCCAGGTAAAGGATGCGGGTAGTGGAGGATGGTGTGACGTGTCACTTCCTGAGGGCGGAAGACCCAAGCTTCCTGAAGACATTGCTTCCCAAATGCTGTATCTGTAGGTGGACCCATGCCAGCATGCTCAAGCACTGATCAGATCTGACGCTGAGATTTCCCACTTCTCAGGGGAAACAGTGAGGCGGGGTAGGATTCGGGGTTCCTGTTGGGGCTCATTCCCGACAGGGGCAGGTGTCTCTAGGGGGCTTCTATGGTGCTCCGCTGGGGGCAGAAGGCCCAATACCCCTCTTGCTTGCACCAGGACCACGAGGTCACAATTTCTTCTGATGCAGCAGGGTTTCTTTTGATGTACCTCTAAGTGGGAGGGCAATATGGCTTGCCACTTTTTTCACATTCCCATGGACCTGCCCTGTCAAACTCAGCAGGAGCTTTGCTGCTGATTGCACCTCAAGCAGACACATTGCTGAGTGCGATAAAATCCAACAGAAATCTTTAAAACTCCCCAGATTACCTCCATTGCTGCAGTTCATTTTTTGTCCATGACTCCTCTGTGAAACCAGATACAACTAAAACATGCAATTCAAGAAGGCTTAGTGCCTTGACCTAAGTGCTAAGGTATTGCATGATCTGCCTGCCAGATACCACAGCCCCTGCTGTTACAGACAGGTAATTAGGTCACCACTTGTGAACTTCCGACACACACAGACTTATGGCCTGATAGCATGGATGCCCTCAAGGAAGTAAAGGTAAGTCTCCTATCATCATGAATCTATTGAGCACTGAGCTCCAAACAGTCATTTAGAATAAGATGGCTTCGGCCCTTTGTATTTTAATCCTATCTGAAGGCACAGAGCCTGTCTATGTGGATGTCTTGCTGGAAATGTCCCAAAACAGCTGAGGGAGCTGCTGTGATGGTGCAGTGCCACTTGGGTCCTGTGCAGGTGTGTGTGAAAGTCCAGCTTTGGGACCCTCCACAGGGGGAAACGGTGTGCTTTAGCACTTCAACACCATGGCAGCTGGTATCTTTGTGCCACAGCAAGACCTCAGAAGCCATACTGGACCGTGGTGGAGAAGCATACCTAAGGTAGTGCTGGCTGGAGGAGCACGGCTAAGGTAGACCGAGCCTGGTAGTGCTGCGGTTCCGAGTGTGTGGGACGTGGGAGGTGTCCTAAAAATGTTTCCTAATAATCTTTCTTGGGTGGAAATTGCAGGGGTTGGTCAGCTCACCTCCCTGTCTCCTTGCTGTATTGTGTATTCTGCATATTTTTTCCTCCTACTCCATCTCACTTTCCATTAGGCTCATGCTGTTATGTCACTCTCCAGTGGGTGAACTCAATATGACCAGGAAACACTGAAGGAAAATGAGATGCAGATGCGGTAACTGCATTAATATTCCCCTTCAATGCAGTTTCTGTTGGAGAGCTCAGACTGTTACTTTGACTTTGCTCCTCCATGGAGCACACTTACGTTAAAATATCAGTCTTGTCTGCCTTTTAGTCCTTATGGAAAAGCTTGTTCAACGCACTTCCATCCTCCTGGGTCAGCCTCCACGGGTACAGCATATCTGGTGGGGGCCACAGGAGACAGTGGAACCTAAGAGGGGCTTGGATGTTCCTTTAAGTTATGTAATGTCTGAGTGGTGCTTGTTTGTGTATTTTCAGAAAACCCAGATGAAAGAGCATGAGAAAATGAGTAAAAAAGGTTTTTCTCCATAAATTAATAGCAACCTCAAAACTCCTATTTCGGTGGTGGAAAAACTGCTGTGTGATGCAATGCCAGTAAAACAGAATCAACTGTAACTTCACAGAAAAATCAGTGATATCCTGATTAATCGCTGTGTTTTCTGAGGTTTCAGTAAAAATGGCTGACGATTATTTCTGAAACTTATGATGACTGTCTTAGTGCATAACCCTTCTTAACATCAATTTGGCAAGCAGAAAAGGAAATATATCATACAGCATTCCGCTCGTAGGGCCAAGTTCTGTCATATATCTGCTTGCAAAGCCTCTGTTGACTGCCTTGGGATTTCTCCTTGTAGAATGATGGCAGGACATGATCCAGACCCAATATAAATGTAACATATGAACCAGTATATCTTCAGATGGAGAAAACGTGTGCGGAATTTCCCTGTGCTATCATGTGCATACTTAATAGGCAACTGCATTCACAGTTATTGAAAAGAAGCACAGACGTCTGTGGTTAGACATCAATGACTATTGTGGGAGGGAAAAGGGGAAAACTGGAAGGCTTAGAATTTGTGCTTGATTGGTTTACTGAGAAATACAAGGCGAGAGAATTGAAAACAGTTTAGAATAGGACCGTAAGGAGGGGAAATTGGCATTGCTGGCAACACTGATGAAATATAATGTCCTTGCCAGAAGAGTATAAATAATGGGTTTCCTGATAGAAAATGTTGATGAGGCCAGCAGGGGGGAGAGCCTGAGGAAAATGTATGCATGTGGAAACTGAGTTTTATTTTGGCAGTGAGTGAAAATAACCATGAAGCCTGGACCTTGTAAACCTGGGAATCCTGAAATTAATAATCTCCAGAGTTAGCTGTTGGAGAGTGGCAGTCTCATGAGGACCATCTGCTTTTCAGGTCTTGTGTATCCTTCCCTATTTTAAGCCCTCAGACTCACTGCTGGACATATAACATCTTGTGAAGCAGTGGTTAGCTGAGGTAGCAGTCTTCATTTAAACAAAGGTCATAGAGAGTGTAGGAAGTGCTGGTGGCAACGTGATGTTTTGTTACTGGCTCTGCTTTGGGAAGGTTTTACATTACATGCATCTCTGTACTATCCGATTGATGCCTTCCTCACGTGTGTTACATTCCACCACTATATGTGCTGTGCTATCTTTTTCTAGTCCTCTCTCCACAGGGAGGAATGTGTATCATATAGTACTTTGTTTCAGTAGAGTTTCTTGCTTAAGTCTGCACTACGGGACATGACCTAGAGGTCTCTTGTCCAAACCCCTGCTCAGAGCAAGCGTAGCTTCTCAGGGAGATCAGGTTTTTCAGGGCCTTGCTCAGGCACATCCTGTGTATCTCCAAAGATGAGGATTTCACAACTTCCTTGGGATGTAGGCCTGCTTCATCAAGTAGGATGATCCTTCTTTATAACTTTAAATGATTGGTACTGATCCAGGTTTTAGGCCTTTACAACACAGGATGCTATTCATTGCTTTGGGGCAGGTTTGGGCTGCTTGAGTAGAAGCAGATGAAGGAAGATTTCCTTGGCCTGACAGCAAACCTCATTGTCAGCCCCAAGAAACTTGATCTAAAGAGGCTTCCACAAAGGCAAGCCTTAGGCTACCTGGCAGAGGGAAAGAGATTCCTGTGGGGAATAGTTCAGAGCAACTCTGAAGCTTCCCTTGAAATGTCCTCAACAAATGCTGGTCTATCTTCACTGATAAGGACAGGAATGTAGGAAGATTAGCTTCCCCAGTGCTTCCCATATGCATCCTCTATGCATGAGCCTTTCCACCATTAAGCCTGAAATCTGCACCCTTGTTGTTTCATCTGGACAGAAAACTAAGGAGATCTGGAAAGGCAGTGGAACAAAGATGCCAGTGAAGGGCAGTGGTTCAACAGCTTGGGTTGGTGTACAATAATGATAATGCTGATGATTTCCTAGCCCTTC